AGATTGCCCAGTCTTCCTTCTGAGGAGTGGCTGGTGGGTTTGAACTGCCAGCCTTCTGGTTAGCAGTCAAGTGCCTTGGGCACTATGCCACCAGAGCTCCCTAACAGGAAGGTAAATGCACTAAAAAAAAAATCTAAGACAGGGATGATTTGTGATTAGGATCTCTTATCATAAGGAAGACACAAAAAAAGTGATATGAGGACCTACAGGTAAGAGAGATTAATGATATAATAAATAAAAATTAATAATAATAAATGCAGCTAGTATTAATTGATCCCTTATCATGTGCCAAATTCTTCATGCACATTATTTTGCTTAATCACCACAACCACCCTTTGAGATAGAATCTGTTATCATCCCTATTTTATAAATAAGATGAATGACATTCATTTACTTGCCCAAAGTCATACCTGTAGTTAATTGTGAAGCTAAGTTCAAATCCAAGACTTCTGACCACCAAAAAAACATGTCTTAACATTTTTCTAGGAGCTCTGGTGGCATTTGACTGCTAACCCACCACCCACTCCTCAGAAGGAAGTTTGGGCAGTCTACTTCCACAGAGATACCACTGTGGAAACCTAAGGAGTGGTCGCTATGAATCAGATCCGACTCATCGTCAGTGAGTTTGGTTCTTTGGTTTTAACATTTATCTAGCAGTTCAATCATTTTAAGAGCTGTTAATACATTACTGTTGACATTACCCAACATTATCCTCCTAATAGCAAAGCAGGTATTAGTATCTGATTTTTATAAATATTAAAACGAATGTCTATAAAGATCAAGAGACTCACCCAAGGTCACCAAACCAGTGAGTGGCAATTCTGGAATACCTGGTCTTTCCTCTCTGAAAGGCCCAGAGATAGAACAGTACAAGGATGCTTCTGACCTGAACATTAGAGTTGAGCCTGGCAGCCTCCTCCTCGTTCTGGATGCTGAGCAAATCTCCTCTTGACCTTCAATTCTCTTCTTCATTCCACTCAATCTCAGTTCACACTGTACACATTTCCACTTATTGGTAGCTATCAGAAAGTTTCCCCATAATCTGGGTGCTTTCTGAGGGCAAGAACCATGCACCTCCTCCTTTGAGATTTCCCTGCAGGGCTCAGGACAGGGCTCCACTTTGGGGGAACTTCAGAATGGTTACACACAGACTGAGCATGGGACACAAAAAAGAGCTCAACTGTGACCATCTTCACCCTCCTTGAATTGTGGAAGAAGTCACTCATCCCTAGAAATCCTGGCATCTGGAAGTAAGCTTCCAAAATATCAAGTCCCACTGAGCTTAGATTCACTAGTCTCTCATCGTTTGCTCAAATCAGAGGAGAAACCACCTCTAGTTCCAAACGCATTCTCAATTATTCTCTTTCATAGTGGGATTCCACAGCACAGATAATGCTTTAATGTGAAATAATTTTTAAAAAACTCATTTTTGTTTGGCTTTCAGATTTGTTGTGGGATTGATGAGCTATGTCATGTCTAAGAATTGCCATGACAAATTTCACTCAGGAGCAGCTACAAAACCTGGTTCTGTTGCTCTAGGAACTGCACCTGGAACCAAAAGGTGGTCTTGGCCCAGAATCCCCATCCTGCCTGCCTCTCAAGAGAACAGAGAGAGATCAGAAGTAGTCATCCAGGGGAGTGGGGTGGGAGAGGTGGGACAAGAAGGATGAGATGGTCTATTTGGCCAGGTGGACTTGGCCATCTACCTTGCTTTTGGATCACCAAACCAAGAATTAACATCCACTCTGAAAGAAATCAGGATGATTGAAATAGATTTTTCTGCTATAAATACTGGCGTTTTCTAAGTAAAAATAAATGGGAAGCAGGGGAGAGATGACTGGGGGCTAATCTTGGAAATTTGTTCTGGTGGTAGGATATCCTTTCTTATGCATGTATAGCTTAGATTGCTTTTGGTTTGTTTGCTTTTCTAAATGGGTTATCATTCTCTTTCCATTTCCTCCTCCAATGCTTGCAGTTGAGCACATAACTTTTTAAGCAACTCAGAGAACCATTTTGGGTACATCTACCCTTTTCTTAAGACCCATTCTGTCTGGATCTTCCTCCCTCTCCTAAGGGAAAGGAAATAGCAATGATGTCAGTAAAGATTCTAAGAAGGTAAAAATGCTGACACTTAGTTGAAACCTTATCTGTAATTAAGACCCTCCAGTGGAATATTATCTGCCTCTACTCACCTCTTCTTGTAGTCTTCCACCAAATCCTGCATATTCCTCAGTTCTGAGTCCAGCCTCACCCTGTCTCCTGACTGTGTCTCCAGCTGTTTCCGCAAGTTGCTGATATAACCCTCATAAATGGGCTCCAGGTTTTTCCTGCAGTTGTTCAGGTCCAGCTGTTGCAACAGGTTCCACTTGGTCTCCAACACTTGATTCTGTTGCTCTAAAAATCGCACCTGGAACCAAAAGGTGGTCATGGCCCAGAATCCCCATCCTGCCTCCTTCTCAAGAGTAGAGAGAAGATCAGAAATCAGAAACAGTCATCCAGAGGGGCGAAGGGTGGGGAGGGAAAGATGGGACAAGAAGGAGCCAAGGCTCATCAGAGGGTATATTTGGTCAGGTGGTTTTGCCCATTCACCTTGGTTTTGAATCCCCAAAGCAAGAAATAAGATCCACTTTGAAAGAAATCAGAATGATTGAGGTAGATTCTTTTGCTATAAATACTGGCATTTTCTGAGTAAAAGTAAAGGGGAAGCCAGGGAGAGGTGACTGGGAGATAGCCTTGGCAATTTGTTTTGGTAGTTAGGATGTTCTTTCTTATGTATGTATAGGCTACATTGTTCTTGGTTTGTTTGCTTTTCAGACTGGGTTATCATATCTTCACAAAGTTCCTTCGTACTTGACTAAAGGTTTCTTCTTTTTGGACTCATTAACTTCAGGTACTCTTCTGCTCACAGTAGTCTTCTTCTCACTTATTTATTTAGCTTGAGGGGGAGAAGGAAAACTGGTAGGGGCAGGTTGACTTAGTAAGAGGAAGGAAATGATCCCTTCCTCTGGGATCATGATGATGTTCTTCTGTCCATGCCCTTTCCCCTCCAACCACATCACTTCCTTCTCCCTAGCCTAACAGTGAGGGACTCAGGCCACTCCACCCTTGACTGCTCTATTATTGCAAGCACATTTCATAGCCTCCCTATATCTCAGTTTCCTCATCTGTAATGCAGATAATACCAGGATCATGGGTTGTGCATTGAGGAATGAGAACCACTTGAGACAGCATCAGGCACTGAGTAATGTCTCCATAAATACTATTCCTTGTTGTTGTTATGTTCCCTGCCACTCATGGTCCAGACTTTCTACCCAGGTGGAGACAAGAGTAGAGTCAGCATGGATATTCACTGGGGTCATTGTCTCCAAAGCTCCAGAGACACCTTCCCTGTACCCCAATTTCTGAGCATCCCCATAACACATACGTGTTGCTTGACACGCTCTGTTTCCTAATCTTCTCTCAGTCCCATCTTTCCTTTTTCAATCTTTTCTCTTATTCCCTCCAGAAACCTTCCTGGCTTACATCCTCCTTCTGCTTCCTTCTTTCCAAGCCCTTCCCCATTTGCTGGATTTCGTGTCCTTGTGACACTCCCTGACCTGTGCCCCTCTAGTGTCCCTGTCCTGTATATGTATCCCATCTCCTTGTTTGGTATCAGGAGCCCTCAGAAGTCCTATTCCACAGGTCTCCTGCCCCCAGAGCAACCTCTTCCCCTACCCAAAGTCTTGACAAGGAATGAATGGCACTCTTAGGTACTGGAAATGTGTGTCAGACACTGTTCTAAGCACTTTATAAACATCCCACTTAATCCTTATTACAGCCCACTGAGGTAAGAAACATTGTGCCCATATTACAGATGTAGAAAGGAAGGCTTAGAATGGTTAAGTAATTCCCCAAGTTCTCACACCACTCATCAGTGGCAGAGCTAGGTACCACTGGGGCACCAGTGCAGAGACAGGCAGATGCTCCAGGACTAACCTTGTCAATGAAGGAGGCAAACTTGTTGTTCAGCGCCTTGATCTGCTCTCGCTCCTGGGCACGGACTACCTGGATCTTGGGGTCTAGTTCCACATTAAGGGGGGCCAGAAGGCTCTTGTTGACTGTGACCTGAGAGATGCCGCCAGGCAGGCGCACGGATGGGCACGCTGACCCCAGTCGCGCGCTGCCATAGACTGTGCCCACAAAGCCTCCCACGCGGGTGCTACAGCTGCCTGCCCCCTGACCCAGAGCGTAGCCGCTGCCCCGGCCGCTGATGGAAATGCGCCGGCTGCCTCCCAGGCTGAAGAGGCTCTTGCTGCCAAAAGCGGCCGAGCTCTTGACGCCAGCCCTGAAGGAGGCAGAGCTGCTGCTGACCCGGCCTGAGATGACAGCCGAGCAGCCACTGAAACTCAGGCGCTCCCCGCCGGGGTAGTAGTTAAATTGGCGGTTCATAGCTGTACCAAGGGCGCTACTGGGCGATGGCAGGGAGGCGAGGAAAGGAGCGCGAAGACGAGCAGCTAGACACTTGACCTCCCCATTCATCTCTTAAATAGCCGAAGTGTGGGGCTGGGCCGGCTGGAGTCAGGCTAATTTGTAGGTCGGCACACCTTTTGGGTCACTTGGGTCCTCTTGGTTCTTCATTTAGGAAATTACCACCCCCTCAGAGATGTTTGTCTCTTCCACCCTAAACTCCCCACGAATCCCCTATAAAATGGCTCAGAACCCTGCATTTGCACTGCTTCCATCGTGCATTATAATAATTTGGCTACCTTATCTCCACTGCTGCCCTCCAATTACTGGGGTTATCACTGCCAAGATCTCTGGTAGAAGCTTCCAGTGGGTCTGGCCCTCTCAGAGTGTGTGTGTTAAGGGTGGAGAGGGAGCAAATGCACAGGTTGATTGTGCCCCAGAAGAACATGAACAGGGTCAGGAATGTTTCAGAGAATCATCCTTAGCCTATCCCTTCCTGCTTCCCTAACATTCCAAACAGAAAAGCTCTATCCAGGCTTCTGAGAGCAAAGGTCCTTGGAGGAGACTTTGTCCCATTGGCAGGACTCATCTGTTGGAGGAGACAGGACACTGTGAACCCAGGTGAGACTCTTGGTCCATGAGAGCTATGGTCACAAGTGCTGGGGAGAGACTTTGGGCCAGAGCAAAAGGTCTCTCCAGAAAAGCATTTCTGGAATAAGGGTGGGGAGATACTAGCTGGGAAGAAGGCTTGGATAGAAAGTCCAGGAAGCTTTAGGTGTGGTTTGGAAGATGGTCTTTCCAGAAGGTTTTTGTTTTCTTCTTTTAATAGTAAAGAGGCTCTTTCATCCAATCCAAGGAACCTCTGATCAGGACGCTTGCTGCCCTGGCATCACTGATTCAGTTTTGGAATGTGACCGACTGTTAGGAATAGGATAAGAAAGGGTGAGAAGTCTCCTCAGATCTAAAATCAAGAACTAGATTCCAAAACTGCATTCCATATGCACCCAGGAGTACCTTTCTTTGCTCTAACCTGATTTCCTCTTCTCCAATTTAACCTGCTCTCAGGTCTTCTCCTAGAAAGAGCCCTTCCTAGGCTAGCCCTCTGCCACTCAAGCTGGGTTATATTTGATCACACTTATTTCTCAGTCAGTCTGTCCTGGGTGTGTGTCCTATTTCCTCCATTAGGTTGACAGGTCCCCTTAAATTAACCCTTCCTTCCCCTACTCCCCCAGGGCGTGAGGGACATTCACTATGAATGTGATGCAGACTGGTACTTAGAACAAGTCTGTGCTGTCAGTTATACCCTGGAGCTTGGGCTTTCTGTGGGGACCTGGGGACAATTGGATGACATAGCCTCCACTGAGCTAATTACAGGGCGTAATAACAACCAAGGTGTTTACCCCACAGGGGTAAGTTGTGAGGGTATTGGTGAGTGGTGGATGTGGCGCCAGCCACAGGTGGGCAGATACAGAAGTCTGAGATGTCACAGGTAGGAAGAGGTCTGCTCTCTATGGTGTCTGAGAGGAGGGGCTGTAGTCCAATTGCTCTGGAGACAGAAGGGCAGTGTCGGTGTGGGTGGGCAATTAGCAGGCCGTCTGAGAAGTTTGAAGTTAAGCTTTTCATTATTTCATGAAATTTCTCCTTTTACCCTATAACATATCCAGTAGTTTTGCAAAAGCAAAAGGAAGTTTATTAATTCTGGTTATTGAGAATGAAAAAAGAAGAAAAGAGTTTAAATTGAAAGAACAGAAACTTACATAGGATTGGCTTACAAAGGGAATTTGGAATCACCTTTTTTTGGGAACTTTCTAAGAAGCTGAGACACCCACCCCTCTGGGAACAGGGCACTTCTGCCTGGCTTAGGGAACATGTGAGCAGACCTTTTCTTATCTTCTTATGAGGAGCTGACTGTCTGGATAGATCAGGAACTCTTCCTCCCCCAAGACATCCTTTCTTTCAGATAATGAAGATGAATACATCAGGTTTCAGAGGCATCCAGTGTGTGGGAGATGTGGAAAAATAAAAAAGTGTGGCTGCAGCTTGGGAAGGGGGCTTTTCATTGCACTTGTCTCTGACAGCAGCTTACAGTGTCACCTCAGGGCCTGATGACCACCTCTACCATTAGTTCTCGGGTTAAAGCAACTCTTTCTACTCTTTCAGTAGAAAGGCAAGAAACATCGCCCTTTGAAACCAGAATTCGAGAACATGAAATGGATGGAATTGGCCACCTGCAGAAGAAACATTCTAGTTGGGGGTTTGCAAAGTGTTGCTGGTTATGTCTAGAATACTAGTTCTTGGGAAATCAATAGAAATTATGTGGGGGGAAGGGGAGCAGAGGAGGGAACCCATGCAAGTATCTTATTGCAGATTTCTTAGCTCCATTAATATGCTTAGTGTTTTCTGATGCTCCAAAAGTTGATTAAAAAAAAAAAAAAAAATCAACCCTCTCCTTGGCCAAATGTCTCATGGGAGCTAGGATTTCAGTGTTACTTGAACAAACACTGAGCAGAGTTATCTTCACCATTTAAATTTCCAAAATGCAAGCAGATTCACAATGTCTCCCCAAAACATAAAGAAAACAGTGCTTTGTTTTGTTTTACATAGGTTCGCTATGAGTTGGAGCCGACTCGACGGCACCTAACAACAATAACAAATGTAGTAAATGTAGTATGCAACATGATCTAATCTATGGCAATATGCCCAAGGTCATAATCAGACAATAGATCATTTGTATGGGCTCTCAAGAACATATATCTGCATAATTCCAGCACTGCTCAAGGGAGAAAGAATTCTCAGCCTTGTAACCAGTAGATTGTGCCAGAGACCTCTAGTATTCACCATATATCCTCATTTCACAGTCTCTGTTATGATACAGTTGGGGGTTGGGCACCATGTGGCTAGTGTTGGCTAAGGAAACATGAGTGGCAATGAAATGTGTCATTCCTGGTACAAGGTAATTAAGAATGAGTGTGCCTCCTCCATCTCTCCTTTCCCCTGTCTCAGTGACTTTGGAGGCCATGTGGCAAAGCTACAAGACAGAAAAAGCCCAGATCTCTAGACATTCATTGAAGAAATCATGTAGACAAGTTTCTCAGCCTGCAATGGACTATGAGTAAGCAACAAACCTTTGTTATGTTAAGCCACTGAGATTTTAGGGATTTCATTGAAGCAACCAGTGTTAATTATCTGAATCCAAGCATGGATGTTGGATGGTGGAAATATCCTTTAACAGCCTATGTTCTTTATCTCAAGTTCATGCTCATCAATCTTCTGATTTCTATTAGACCTTCTCTTCTTTCCTTCTCACTTAAGCTTCTTGAAAGAATAGTCTACACCTAGCAAGCACTTAGTGATCACTTTCTATGTGCCAGATGCTGAGCTAACTATCCCTCATACATTACTTCATTAAATTTAATTCTCTTGATAATTCTATGAGGTATCTACTATTATACTCCCTTTTCTAACAAATGAGGAAATTGAGGCTCATGGCATGTGAGTATCTTGCCTAAGTCCACCTCAGAAACCCAAGGAGGGTTTGCTATGAACTGGAACCAACTCACTGCCATTGAGTCGGTTCTGACTCATAGTGACCCCTCCTTGGATTTCCGAGGTGGTATCACTATGAAAGTAGATTGCCCAGTCTTCCTTCCAAGGAGTGGCTGGTGGGTTAGAACTGTCAGCCTCCTGGTTAGCAGTCAAATGCCTTAGGCACTATGCCACCAGAACTCCGTAAGTTATAGAGCAGAATTCAAATCCAAGTTGATCTGACACCCGAGGTCATAACTTTTCCCACAAACTCTAAAGTCTCACTTTCTACACTTGCTCATCACTACTTTCCTCTCAAGACCTCTTCTCTGACTTCTATACTGTCCTCTCCACCCCTATGCTCAAGATCCTTCCTCTGAAACTGTTGTTGTTGTTATGTGCCGTGAAACTACTCTCACTAAAATGACTAATCACCCGTTAATTGCCAAGTTCAATGAATGCCATTTCAATTCTTGTCTGAATTGGCCTTTGTGATCCTGTTTACCAATTCTTCCTCTGAAACTTTTCCCCCTTGTTTCTTTGGTTATTTCGTCCCAATCTTCTTCCTGGACGCTTTTCCTCTACTTCCTTCAGGATTTCCACCCTTCTTTTGCCTCTCTTTTCACTGCACACCTTCTCTTTACATTATCTCATCTACTTGGCCATTATTTTAAGGCCATGGTGAGTACACCCAAATCTACACCTTCAGCCAAGAGCCCCCTCCTTCGACCACTAAAATCTTGGAACCCCTCTTCCACTGGGTGGCACAATGACCCATGCTCAGAGACCAGAGACCCGGGAGTCATCCTAGGGTTCTTTCTAAAAATATACACTCTGCCATTCCAACATCCAACCAGTCATTGCTTCTTACTGATTCTCCGTCTCAGATGTCTCATGAACTCTGTCCCTCCTCTCCATCCTTCTGCCACTGCTCCTATCCAGGCCTTTGTCATACCTCTCCCAGCCCACTTAAATAACCTCCTAACTGCTCTCCCTGCTTTCAGTCTGGACCACCTTTAACCAATGTTTCACATTTCCATGAGAGAAGTCTACACAAGACTCAAAGTTGTCTACATTTCTGCTCTGTTTTGAACTACTCCTCCTCCCCACCATAATCTACAGGATACAATCTCAGAACCTTAACACTCATGAAAGGGCTTCTCCGATCTAGCCACTGCCTGCTTCCATAGCTTCAAGTGCCACTGCAGCCTCCCTTTCCACCTGTTGAACTTCCTTCAGCCTTACACTTCATGCTCCAGCAAAGACAACTCATTTTCACCATTCTAGTTCCTCAATCTACAATGCCTACTCCTTCTTTTATCCACATAGTTAATTCCTACCCATCCTTTGAAACTCTACATGTATGCCTCTTCTGTAAGCTTTTCCTGACCTGAAAAGTGATCTGAAAGTGGCAAGACACACCAGGTAAGTGTTGGCTCCTTCTCCTGCTAACATGAATGCTCTTAAAGGTTACTCGCTCATTGACCATTGGTCTGTGAAAGGCATGACTTAGAAAGTACATTGCTTGGGGGTAAGGGATATGGATGAATCCCATGTATATCCCAGAGGAGGTGATGGTAGGATCCTCCAGTCTATGCAAATGCTTATGCCACCAATCTCTTCCATTCAAATCAACAGGTGCTTTGAGGATCTGTGGGACCAGACTTTGGATGCCTCAGGTTCCAGGTCACCAGCCACTCCACAGGTAGAAGAGATGTAGCCTAAGATTAGGGTTCCCTTAAGAGATAGAAGCAGCCTGGCCTGCATGAGTTTTATAAGTTTATTGTTGAGACACAGGAAGCAGGGAGCCAAGGACTGAATAAAGACAAGAATTTACATATTTTAAAGCAAAACTCCCTTTGTTTATAAGACCAGCCTCAAGGAGTATTCCCAGCAATCAAATTTGCAGTGATCATGCAAGATACAATCTGTAACCAGCTACTTCATGTGAGCTGATGTTATCTCTAACAGGATATCCAAGCTAGAGACAGTTCTCACAGGTCTATCAATGGATCCAAAACTTTGTATACACATGGAACACCTGGTCAAGTAACTACCTAACCCAAGCCCAGCGAAGACAGCAGGAAGATTGGGGTTACCCTTGAAAGACACACTTCTCTGTAAGGGAACATGCAGGTCAGCAAAGGGGTCAAATTCTTATCTTTGGCAATGTTTCCAGAATGGAAGACTGAGTTAAGGGGTCTCTTTGTGTGGAGGCAGAAGGATAGGGCAAGATGACTCCAGCCCTAGAATCCTGATTCTACCTTAAGAAAGATTGAGACAGAGAGGTTGAAGAGGCAGTTGGTTGCAAAGAAAAGAAGATAAACATGACACAGGAATTGCCTGGAGGAGGGAGTCCAGAGGAAACCCAGGCAAGATGGACAGCTGGAAAATGTGCTTTCGCTTTATCTCATAGTTTTCTTTGGGGATGAGTTCAGAGTTGATGTCTTTCCCAAGGGATCCTTGAATTCACTTGCACTTCCCAACCTGGTCCTGGTTTCCCCACGGGGGCTGCAGTTCCCACTGCCAGTGACACAGCCCCCAGACAGTATGCTGTAGCCCCCGCCGACAGAGCTGGGTCGGTAGCCATAGGTGCCAGCACCGCTGAACCCAAAGCTGGTGCCTGTGCCTGAGGTCCCAGCTGTGGAACTGCTGATGACTGCTGTGGAGGATGGAGGGAGAAATGATCAGTATGTGTTGCAGGATAAGGATTGTCCCAACCTTCCAGCCCCAACTAGCTTAAATGTCATTCTCTTAAGCAAACATGTTATGTTGTTGTTGTTAGTTGCTGTTGAGTCAGCTCCAACTCATAGTGACTCCTTGTAAAACAGAATGGAACAATGCATGGTCTTGTGCCACCCTCACAATCATTGCCAAGTTTGAGCCCATCATTGCAGCCACTGTGTCAATCCATGTCACTGAGGGTCTTCCATGTCATATCAAACATGAACTTGGGTTTAGTGGCACACACTCAATTCCTGAGCAGCTGAAGCACAGGGGAAAATATCCCAGATCCAGAAGACCCTCAAGTTGAGCACCTTCTCAGGTATAGCAATGGCGATATACATCGCCCCAAAGAGCAGGTAAGTAACACATTCTTATATTTAAGTTTAGAATACATCCTTAATTCTTTTCAAAGAATTTCCTTATTGCTTGATAGCTCATCTCTCAGATAACCCCATGGGGGTCATTAAAACTGATTACAAGTGTCAGTCTACCCCACTGATGACATTATCTGCACAGAAGTCTCTATTCTCAATAAGGAAGAGTGACTCTTCAAGCTCACAGTTTCCCTCTACGCAGAAAAGTCTATGCTGGAGGTGCTAGAGGAGGAGTGGGGCTGAGAGTGTCATCCCATTGTGGGTGAGATTTCTGGAGAAGGGGACAATGTGAAATGTCAGAATGTGATGAGGAGCTGACTTCTCTGGGCGAGAAGCAGATCTGAATGGGGAGGCAGCAAGGTTCAGCCAGGCAGGCAAGTATATGACAATGGTGGTCTAACAGGCAGATCCCAAGCTATTCCAAGGGAGTCCATCCCAGAAGTAGGCATGTGCTCATTTTAGGTTTGTTTATGGCCCATAAATATTCCCTCAGAGACATTAAATACTCACAAATGCTCACAGAGTTGGTGTACTCTCCAGACATCCTGCAGAAAGAGAAAAGCACAAAGGGATTTCTATTACATGGAATCCCAGAGTTAGCCTCACCACAGCCTGAACACTGGCCCATAAATCATGAACCAGACTAGCTCAGCTTCCACAAGACCCTCCTGCTGGCCAAATGGCATTGATATCTCCTATGTATCTCTAATCAAAAGGAGCCCTGCTAGCACAGTGATTACGTACTTGGCTACTAGCTGAAAGGGTGGCAGTTTCAACCCATCAACCACTCCATGAGAGAAAAATGTGGCAGTCTGCTTTTGTAAATATTACAGCCTTGGAAACCCTATGGGGCAGTTCTAATCTGTCCTATAGGGGTGCTACAAGTCCTATATGAGTCAGAATCAACTCAATGGCAACGGGTTTGGGTTTGATTTTTGTATCTCTAATCACCTCCTTCTCCTTCCTCAATCTACTCTTCCCACTTTGGAGATATGTTAGCCCACAACCTTGGTGCCCCCAACACCATCACCACTCCCAGGACCCCTCATGCTGGGTTTTTCTTGAACTCACTTCTTTATTTTTGTGAGATGTCTGCCAAATAAATACATATGTGAAAATATTAGGGTCAGGAGTTGCCACGAATAAACTATATGATTTTAGGGACATTAACTTCTCCTCTGTAGGTCACAGTTATGAAATGGCACTAGCTTAAAACGGGACTTTTCAAATGCCAGTGCTTCATGTACCACCTTCCCAATGGTTGCTATTATCATACATACAGCCCATACTGTTATATATTTAGTATTTTAAATTGATTGCTTTTATAATAATTAAAAAATGCATTCATCTTAAAATGAAATTTTATATCACTAAGGTAAATGGAAAACCAGTATTACTGTCCAAAAAAGATAGATGGAAAAATAAATACAATGAAAACAATATAAAATTTTTTAAATCTTTGACTGGATATGGTTGTCTGCCCAATGGCTCTGAACCTGAGACAGATCTACTCTATCTTGATTGAAAGGAGAGATGTGCAAGTGTCAGAAAGGTCTTAGAGACACAACAGCACCAAGTTGAGACTTTCTCTTGACAAAGTCTGAAGGGTTGAAGGAGAACTGAAAAGAACATCAGTGTTTCCTTACTTGATTGGGTACTGTTTAAGGTTATGTTTGTAGGTGACCTAAAGAGCATCTCCAGCCCCTCTGTCAGCCTGTCCCTAAACTCTGGAAAACTCTAAATTAGAGGTTTCCAAAGTTTCTTCCAGGATTAAGGTCATAATACCCTTCCTACCACCCACCTGCACTCCTCGCCCTCCAGCAGCTTGCGGTAGGTGGCAATCTCAATGTCCAAGGCCAGTTTCACACTCATCAGCTCCTGGTACTCTCGCAGCATCCTGGCCAGCTCCTCCTTGGCCTGGTGTAGAGCAGCCTCCAGCTCATCTAGCTTGGCCCGGGCGTCCTTCAGAGCACAGTCTCCCCGCTGCTCGGCATCAGCAATAGCTGTCTCCAGGTTGGAGCACTGAGAGCCACAAGATAGCATTTCCCCTGAGTCCTAAGGCACCACAAGCCTCACTTCACCTCCCCCACCCTAAATGTGTTCACTATGAATGGGCCACCCTCTGTCCTACCCCATTTCCTAGAGCAGAGACGTAGCTACAGCTGTAATCATGGGATCCTATTAACCTGGGACTGTGAGATTAGTAAGGAGTTCTTGTGCTGTAGTGGTTAAGGCATTTGGCTGCTAACCAAAAGTTTGGTGGCTCGAATCCACCAGCTGCTCTGCAAAAGAAAAATGAGGCACTCTGTTTCCATAAAGATTTACAGCCTTGGAAATCCAATAGGGGTCGCCATGAATTGGGATTGACTCAATGGCAGTGAGTTTGGTTTTTGGTTTTGATGTGGGCTATTATACTGAGTCCCATGGCTTCCAGTTGTTCCAGGTTTTGGATGGGAGCTAAGTATGTGGGCAGGAAGGTGAGAACAAGGTGTCCACTTGAAGGAGGGGTTCTGAGATGGAAGACCAAGAGTAGGAGAAGTGGCAGAGGGGAGGGTGCTAGATGGTTCACCTCTCACTTGGGGATGAGTCAGGAGCCCCCATCCCCCATCACCTGTTTCTTCACACTCTCAATCTCCGATCGCAGCCTTTGGATGAGACGAGTCAGCTCTGAAATCTCATTCTTAGTATGTTTGAGGTCATCTCCATGCCGCCCAGCAGCCAGTTGGAGCTCTTGGAACTAAGAGACAGGGGCCAAAGCAGGGACATTGACTCTGGGCCTAGTACAGAGACTGTGCCTTTGTTTGGGGAATGGGGTGGAAGTGGGTAGGAGTCCTGTCAATAGCCTTCCACTCAACCATTTATTAACTGAATTTATTTGCCTTTAAGCACAGCTGATCTCACTGATGTTGGGATTTGGTCTCATGCTGAAATTCCACTCAGAGCTCTCCATATTACAATTCCAATTATTATGACATTCCTCTGCCTATAGCCCTTCAAAGCTCACCACTGTCTTCAAGGTCAAGTTCAAACACCTGAGCACACTATCAAGGTGTTTTGAGGTCTGGTGTCCAACAAAGTTTCAGCTTCATTTCCCACTACTCCTGTGCATTTCCTACCTGGCCCTACAGCAGTGCCAAAAGCACACAGTTCCATGAACGTGCTTTGTGCTCTCATGTCTCTGAGTCTTTGCATGAGTTTCTTCTTCCACCTGGCAAACTCTTCTCCATCTTCCTTCTCTTTCTTTAACTAGCTCCAATTTAAACAGTACAGAGTTACTTTCTTCGAGAGATCTTCCCTGTTCAGTACACTTCTGTCTCCACAGCCCATGGCACATCACTGCATTGGTCTTACCACACTATACTGTGATCACATGTGTCTATGTCTTTCCCCATCAGATTAGATGACTAGGACTATTTTTTGTCTCTGAATTCCCATTACTACCATAGTGCCTGGTTGGAACTCAGAAAAGTTCTGATGAATGAATGAATGAAAGAGAGTCGGTGAGCTGCCCATTTGTATTTTCTGTGACTTTTGCCCCTCCATAACTCAGCTGGAAATATTGCTGGGAGGGGAGGGAGGAAGAGAGTTTAGCATGGAGAGACTTTGTGTGTGTGTTTGTGGGGAGTAGGGGTGGATTTTACTATACACCAACACTACTAGCCATGAATTTTTAGTCCACTGTTGTTATTGTTGTTAGGTCCAGTCAACTCGGCTCTGACTCATAGCAACCCTATGTATAACAGAACGAAACACTGCCCAGTCCTGGGCCAGCCTCACAATCCTTGCTATACCTGAGTCCATCATTGCAGCCACTGTGTCAATCCATCTCGTTGAGGGCCTTCCCCTTCTTCGCTGACCCTCCACTTTACCAAGCATGATATCTTTCTCCAGGGAATGGTCCCTATTAGTTTTGCATTATTCCTGCCTTTGATGTCATCTATTGAATAGTTAACAGATAGGACTTCAATTCTGTCTCAATATTTGACTTAAGGGAAACACAAAGTACATATGGCATTCCAAACTCTGGTAGCTGTGCACTGCCCAGCTCTCTGTCCTTGGATGCTCAACCTTGCTGATTGTCTCATAGCTGACCCCAGCATAGGCTGGATTCAGAATTTCTCATAGGGATGTCAAGTCCTCTGGGGCTTCTCTCTATCTTCCTTTTGTTTTATCTTTGGTGTTAACCTTAGAAAAGGAAACCCTGGGTAGGACATTTCCCACTTGTCTCCAAGGTTATGTGAGCAGGATGGGCTTTCCCACATGCTGACCAGGACAGGGTTGCTAACCTCTCCCACAATAATTACACCAAGAAGTATCCTTCTGAAGTGAACATGTGAGCATCCTCCCATTCGACTCTCAACCCACATAATGCCCTTATCATAAATACTCCTTAATCAAAGTCATCTCTTGATTTTGTCAACACCATAGAATTTGCAGTCAGTTGCCTAGATTCAGATGTAGCTCCATCACTTACCAGCTAACTGCCTTTGGCAAGTTCCTAAAACTCTGTGAGCCTCAGTTTCTTCATCTTTAAAATGGGAATAATAATAAGCTCTCATAATATCATTATGATCATTAAATTCTGCTTAATAAGAATTTATCCCCTAATGGGAGAAGTGGATACATGGATAATCCCAACCAGTAAATGATCCAAAAATCATGTCTGTGTAAACCTGCCTTGTTCTCCCAGAAAGGGAATAGCTTGGGGTTAAGCACTGGCTCCTGACAAGTCCAGAGTGGTTAGTCCACATGATCATCCCCTGACCTTGAGTTGAGTTTGAACATTTATGAAGAAGTCCCTGCCTATGTTTTCACCTTGTCTTTGAAAGCCTCCCACTTTCTCACCCCTGACGACCAAACCTCTCTGTCCTTAAATTAGCAGGAAGAGGGACAAGATAAGGTCTTTCAAGAGTATGGCTTTCCTTTGAGAAAGAGTCTGCTAAATAACAAAGAGAAATTAGAAAGGTGCCATCTTGATCTGAGAAACCAAGTTATCTGAAGAATCAATTCCCACTCACAACCCATTAGAGGAATTAAGATCTAAATGACTCAAACTCCTCATTCATCCTTGGCATTGGACTTGAATGAAAAGGTAGGAGTATCCTGATCCCAGATCACACTGCAAGAAAACCTTCTAATTTAAAGCAATTAACAAAGGAGCTGAGATGCTAACTACTCACAGTTTCTCTCCCTGTCAGACTTAGTGTAAAACTCTCTGCCTCCAAACAGTCATTTCTGAGCTGCCCCACCTGGACCTGGTTTTCTAATCTCTGTCTTCCTAGCATTCACAAGCTCTGTTTTCACCACATTCATTGTGCTTGGCTGTATGTGTCCTCCAATGGCTACCGTTAGTACTGGGCTTCCCCCAGTGTACAGTGCTCACAGTAAGGGTGGGCCACAGGCCAGACATATAATACAAGGCTTAGACCTGAGGCCCCTGCACAGATGATTCTGGGGTGAACGCAGCCTCACCTTGGTCTGGTACAGGGCTTCTGCCTCAGCCTTGCTCTTCAGGGCAATCTCCTCGTACTGGGTGCGGACCTCGGCAATGATGCTGTCCAGGTCCAGGTTGCGGTTATTGTCCATAGACAGAATGACAGATGTGTCACTGATGTGGGACTGGATCTGAGCAATCTCCTACAGGGGGTAAATAAGGAAGCGTGAATTTATGGCCAGGGGAAGATGCCAAGATGATAGCCCTATCCAGCAGGATGGCTCCCAAACCACTCCAAACAGATGCAAATTACATCCCAAGTTTGTAAAAACAGTGCTCACCAGCACAAAAGTTTCAATATCACATCTAAAAATGGCTGAATAGGTTTGAAGCAACACAAGAAGAAAATAGCCCATCATTGTATAAACTGAGACAGGTTACAAATGGAGAAGGTACAGAGGAAACTACCTGGACACCACAGAAGGGACACAAAAGCCCATGAATGCTTGGTCAATGGATTGAAGCTTGAAGCCAGATGGACATTGAGGAGATACAAAAGGTCTGTGAATTCCTCACCTTTACTCCTCGAGATTCCTGCTCAAGAACCCAGGAAACATCCCAAACAGCAGAGAGAAGACAGGCAAGAATAAGAATATGCATGGCTGACCATCAATGGGAACCCCTTAAGGACCCATGGCTTCCTGAAGGACGTGAGAAGAAACATGTGAGCCCAGGCCAATATTGATGGACACATTGTTTTGGGGCCCCAGGGTAGATTTACACTCCCTCTTTAATCTACAAAGCTCCTGGCATCCAAATGTTGCAGATTCCCTGAGCTCTCAAAGTTATTAATGAGTAAGTAACCACTCACTCATATACCTGTCCTTCCAGAACACAGAGTAAGGGTGGGAACAGGAAGCCTTACCCCCTCATATAGACACTTGAGGAACTTGATTTCTCCATCAAGGGCATCCACCTTGGCCTGCAGCTCCACTTTGTTCATGTAAGCAGCATCCACATCCTGAGGAGAACCCCAAGACCCTCAAATATCACCTTGTTTCAAGTCCAGACATGCCTCTTCCACCAACTGGCACCCAAGTCCCCAACTTTGTGGCTAGTTGTCTCAGGGAATGGACTTGAGACCTAGTTGACAGGAACCTGCCTTTGGCCCAGGATACACAGTAAGAACTTGGGCCAGTCCCTCATACCCCTAGAATGCCTTTTGTCCTGTAACAAATTAGAATCTTTATACTGGCTTCTATTTATCCAAGAGAGAATATGGTAGCCCCATAGCATAGTGCCTAAGGCACTTGACTGCTAACCAGAAGGCTGGCAGTTCAAACCCACCAGCCACTCCTCAGAAGGAAGGTTGGGCTATCTACTTCTGTAGTGATACCACCTGGGAAACCCAAGGAGGGGTCACTATGAGTCAGGTCTGACTCGACAGCACATGACAACAACAACAACATCCCCACACAGTCACTGAGAAGCCAGAGTGAACTGAGGGCTGCCACAGCAGTTTTCCAGGGAGACTGGAATTGGAAGATGAATATGTTGTTGCCTCTCCAAAACCATGTCCTGTTCCCTAATCCAGACCTGAGAATTGACTCTCCATCCATACCTGGCTCATCTCCATCCACACAAAAACTAGGGGGCTGACGAAGTGATAGATGAGAGCTAAACATCAAAGTGTCCCAAGATGTTCCCAGCAACAAATCCCTCCATCTTCTCCACCCATCACTTCAGCTCCAGGCCCTTTTGTAGGGAGCATAGACCTCAGTCTCTTCTGATGCCTTCTCTTCCTGCCCTGCCCTCCACAGGACACTCCCTGATGGCTGAGGGATGTGTCCTACCCTCCTCACCTTCTTGAGCACCACAAATTCGTTCTCAGCTGTTGTGCGCTTGTTTATTTCCTCCTCATACCTGCAGGAAAAGTGGCACAAATGAGGGGTGTGTGTGTGTGTGTGTGTGTGTGTGTTTCACAGTGAAATGAGAAATGAGAGGCCCATATAATAATCTTTTATGCCTTGCATGTATTATTCTGCATCTATTATTCTACAAGTCTGTTCCATCTTGCTAGGACTATTTGGTCAGAGGGTAGACAGTTGACTGAATGGTTTAGGATGTGGATCACTTCTGATGCCTGGGAGTGAGCAGGTTCTGTGCCTCTCACTCAGTATCCAAAATCACAGGGTCATGCCTGCTGCTCTTTCAGCTATGATTCTTGTGTCATGCCACTGCCAGACACCCCTTACCACCCCATCTCTAGGCATGAGTTCGAGGAAGCCAGAACTACATCCTCAGACAAGAAAAAGGAGCAAGACCCAAATGTCCAACAGAAATTCAAACTCCCTGCCCTGCTGGGAGGGTTTTCTCATAAATCTTGGACACACTGAGAAAGCTGAGGAACCAAGAGACTGTGGGGTACATACACTCAGGCTCTCTTAAGTGGGAAATGGGAGGTAGTGTGCTAAAGAGGAGCACACTTGCTAGAACAGCAGTGCCACTACCTGAGAGGCTAGCTGTCCATTGTGTGTTCCACTGGCCTCCTAGCAAAGGCACTCATCTTTCCTGTACAAAGGAGCTAAAATGGATCACACCCATCTGACCTCACTTGAAGCCAGAGGAAAAATGTCCCAGTGTCTCCTGGGAAAGTGCAGCCCCAGGAGGCAGGTCTTCCTGGGCCCCTCTCCCTGCTCACCTCTTCTTGTAGTCCTCTACCACATCCCGCATGCTTCTCAGCTCTGAGTCTAGCCTTACTCTGTCCCCAGACAGCGTTTCCAACTGCTTCCGCAGGTTACCAATATAGCCCTCAAGGATGGGCTCCAAGTTGTTCTTGCAGTTGTTCAGGTCCAGCTGCTGCAGCAACTCCCACTTGGTCTCCAGCACCTGGTTCTGCTGCTCCAGGAACCGCACCTGGAACCCAAAACAACTGACATCTGGAACCAACTTCACAGACTCTCAGTAAATGGGGAGATAAACTGTAGGGTTTCCTTTTCTGGAAAGCACTTGTGTTTTGTTAGGCTACACTAGTTTGAATAGGAAAGCCTCAGTCCTTAGAAAGAGTCAGCCACTCATGCCCCTCCCCACTTGGGCTCTTTTTATCTGGAGCTCTGACTCCAGTTCTCTCTCTGGGGGCAGCCCCTGAGGTCTGGAGGGGCCCCAACATCTTCAATTCCACCCATGGTCTAGTCAAGATCTACCACCTCTGTACTTATCAAAGCCTGCCTGGGCCAGTTTCTATGGTCAGCCTGGTCTGCTTTCTAAGGCAAGTACTTAGACACTTAGACACATGAAACTGGCCTATACTACTTGCCCTTCACACTCTTGGGCCCCTCTGTTTGAGACTGGTCACATAGCTTGTGCTCTGCCAAATCTCTGTCATAGCCTCTTCCAGCCTAGCTGGAGGGTGGGTGCTCAGTTGTTCTTGGGTTTTGAGCCCTCCCATGCTGCTAAATATTCTAATCAGAACATTTCCCTAGAGAGAACATACATTCTCAAGTTGCATTTTACAAATATTGTATCATTCCCTTACTTAAAACCCTCTGGTGACTCTCATCATCTATAAGGTCAAGGGCAAATTCCTTATTGTACTCTTCACAGTGTACCTAGCCTCTCCTACCATTCACCCAAACCTCTGGCAAGCCCCAAATTCTCCCCATCCTCCTGACAAGTCCAATAATGCCGCATGATTGCATAATGCATACTCCTTCTCCCTGGATTGCCTTTTCCTTACCTCTGTCTGGCAAGCTCTTATTCAGCCTTCACCACCCTCCCTGTTACCAGGCAAGCTTTCCCTGCTTCCCTAAGCTCAGGAAGTCTCCACTTCTCAAGATCTTCCTGCTACTTTTTTCTTCAGTTGTCCTCAAACTTGAGCATGGAACAGGTCACCTCTGCCTTCCCTCCTAGGTTGGGTGTTATGAGTCTGTCTCTTGAATGGAGTCTGAGTTTCCTAGGCAGGGACTGGTTCTTATGCCTTTATAAACAGTCCAGGCCTAAAAACCTGCCTGCCCACAGGCTCCTCTTTTGCTGGCATCAAAGTTTAGCAGGTGGTCACTTTCCTGCTTCTCAACTCTGGGCCACTTTCCCTGTCTCCTAACCTTCCCAGACTAAGCTCTCTAGCTTCTCTCACCCCTCAGTACTGGTGCCCAGGGTTTTGTCGAGCTTCTGCCTGCTTTGCCCTTGGCTGTGTCTGCATCCTAGGAAGGTGTGCTGCCTTCTGCTTCAGAGGGAAGGAAGATGGAAGAAGGGAGGAAGTTCTGTGCCCAGTTTTTCACCAGAAAGACCTACCTTGTCGATGAAGGAAGCAAATTTGTTGTTCAGTGCCTTGATCTGCTCCCGCTCCTGAGTGCGTACTTTCTGGATCTCAGGGTCCAGCTCTACATTGAGGGGGGCCAAAAGGCTTTTGTTGATGGTGACCTGGTGGATGCCTCCTGGAGGGCACACAGTTGAGCACAAGGGCCCCAAGGCCACACCCCCAAACATGCTTCCTGCAAAGCCACTGACCCGGCCCTGGCCAAACCCATAGCCCCCTGTCCTCCCACTGCCACTGGCCACATTGAGGGAGATGCTCCGGGTGCCCCCCAGGTTGTAGAGGCTCCGGCTGCCAAAGCTACCACTAAGCCCTCTGCCTCCTGCCCAGTAGGAGGATGAGCTGCCCCCAGAAAGGACTGCTGAGCAGCCACTGAAGCCACCCTTGGTGGCAGCTCCAGACTTGCAGGTGAATTGGCGGTTCATGTTGGGATGGCCAGAAAGCAGGAATAAGATGGTAACCCTTAGCTCAGGTGCAGTTCACCACTCTGAAAACTCAGGCCCCCTTTATAAGGCTCAGGAGAGAGCCACAGCCCTAATTTGTGGGTTCAGTTTGCCTGGGAGCAAGAAATTATTTTCTCCCAGCAAAATCCAAGACACCAAGCAAATAGCTTGAAAATCCTCAAAGTGCTGGGCTTGCAAGATTTGCTCATGTAATTTGGGTCTTATCTCATCATCAACTGTTCATAGGATAAATAGCCCGGTCAAATTATCCTTAGAAAGATCTTGTCTGGGAGGTTTATCACAATCTCAACTGTCCCACCCCAGGGAGTGGTGGGGGTTGGATTGCGGAGGTGCAGAGGGGAGACCTGTAATTGGCAGCATCATCTGTAAGAGATCTCATGATGGTACTGCCATCAGATGTGCTGCTGCAGGGACGTTGGCTGGCCTGCTTTTAAGTGGTTAGGAAGAGATTGCAATGGCCTTCCTTCCCAGCAATCCTAGAGACAGTTCTCAGCCTAGACCAAGACATGGCAAATGAGTCTACTAGGAATCCAAGCCCAGCCTCCAGACACCTGCCTCCCACTCTCAGTACCATGATATGCTTCCTGCTCTTCTGGGCTGCCCTCCTCACCCTCACCTGCACACACTGACATATTTATTCTTGTATCCTCCCACTGTCTCCTCCCTTGACCTTGACATAATGATCATTGTCACCATTCATGATGGCTGACATTGGGGCGGCTCTTCACAGTGCTGAAAGAGCTCCTTGCACATAGAAGCTCATTTAATCCACTTAGTATGACTGTGGAGGATCTGTGCTGATCCATCAGATAGCTGTTGATGTCACTTACTTAGCAAACATTTAATGAGCCCTTTCCATGTGCTAATCCCAGAGGATACACATGCCCAACAAAACACAAACCCCAGCCTTGAAGACTCCCTTAGCTGGCCTTCTGACCCTCACGTATGTAGACCTTTTGAGGTCTTATTCATCCATTTGTCCAACCTTCCATCCATCCATCCATCTATCCTTTCATTCATCTACTCTTTCATTCATTCAGCAAACATGTGTTAAGGGCTGATTCTATGCTCACTGCTATGCTTGGATCTGATGTCTAAAATAAGATAGATATATAGCTCATAATTCTAGGGATGGGGAAGGAGGACAGATAGTGAATTTCATCAGACCATTGACAATGCATACCTAAAACATTTGACTGCTAACCAGAAGGTTGGTGGTTTAAACCCACCAGCCACTCTGTGGACAGAAGACTGGGCAATCCACTTCCATAAAGATTTATCAACTTGGAAATGCAAAAAAAAAAAAACAAAAAAAACTCACTGTCATTGCATTGGATCCAACTCATAGTGATCCCTCCTTGGGTTTCCGAGGCAGTATCACTACGGAAGTAGATTGCCCAACCTTCCTTCCGAGGAGTGGCTGGTGAGTTTGAACCACCAGCCTTCTGGTTAGCAGTCAAATGCCTTAGGTACTATGCCACCAGAGCTCAGAAACCCAAAGGGGGTCGCTATGAGTCAGAATCAATTCAATGGCAGTGAGTCTGTTTTTTGTTTGTTTGTTTGTTTGTTTGGTATTGACATTGCCAAAGGATGTGTCCCAAGAATCTCACAATTCCCAAATCCCAAATATACCCATTGTATGATATTCCTCCATAAAAATGCAACTATTTTACTAGCTAGAGTACTTGAGGGAACAATTTGCCCACCCCTCATTCCTATTTCTGTACAGAGACTATGGTATCCTACTAATACTGTTGTATTAAGACACCACCAAATTCAACCTCCCCATCTTCTTTATATAAAACAGCAATCTTCTGGTTTCAAATACTCAGTTTTCTTGTTGATGTTGTTGTTATGTGCCGTCGAGTTGGACCCGACTCATAGCAACCCTTCCTTAGGCCTCCTCAATTTCTATTACCAGCAATGACACTTGACTATCTTTTCCATCTTTTTGCACTAAAAAGTTTTACCCCTTTGTGAGTTTCTTCAGAAGATGCAAGGAGCGAAGACCAACAAAACTGTGCTGTGATGGGAATGCTGAGTGTCCCATCCAGAATTGCTCCCTAAGTGACTCTTTTTAGCATACAACCATCAGAGTGGATGTGATTCAGATAATATCTCAGCAAAAGTACAGCCTGCTACATGCTACACTCCCTACAGGTCATGGAGACTGTGAGTGTTCACACTGAATGCCTCCTCTACAGTGCAGTATGTGACTGCTAACAAGAAGTCCCTCACTCTACATGGCCGTCCCTTCCCTCCCCCAAGCCCCAGCTTTCCCTCCTTGTGACCTTGCCACAGAGGCACTGAGAAGCCTTCTCTGGTCACTTCCTCCAGTCCAGCTACTCCTTTCTGGCCAGGCTCCCACATAACAGTCTAAACAGCATCACCTATCATACCAAGTGTGTGCTGTCATTCAGTGTCTCTGTGAGTCCAAGGTGTATGACTATTTTCCCCGATAGGCTAGAAAGTTTCCTGAGAACAAGACCCAGATCCCACCCTCCCTCTGAGTCATCTCTACTCACTCCCAGAACCATAGGAGTGAGAGACTCTCAGAAGTCATGGAAAGGCAAAAAGACTCTAAGGTACCCATGAAATCATTCCCCCAGGCTCTTTAGCACCTGTCCTTAAAACCCCCCTAAGTAGGCTTTTAAATAGTGAGTCCTTACATATCACATCTTGCCACTACCCTCCCCAAGGGAAGTTCAATGTCACTGAATCCCTATCTAATCTTCATCCAATTACTAAATGAACCTCACCTCTCACAGAGGGGCAGTCCTGCCATTAGTTTTTGCCCAGGCCTCTAGGGTAGGCATTCTTGATGGTTTCAGCACAGAGGAGGAGGGGCAATCTCCAGTCAGCCCTAGGGGCAGTAAAATCATGTTGTAAAAGGATGTTTAGTACTTCTGGTTCCTGGAAGATGGAGTAAACATACATTTTTCTATTCCTCTCACTGTTGTTGTTAGGTGCCTTTGAGTCAGTTCTGACTCATAGTGACCCTGCGTATAATAGAAGGAAACACTTCCTAGTCCTGACCCATCCTCACATTCCTTGCCATGTTTGAACCCATCCTTGCAGCCACTGTGTCAATCTAGCTCATTGAGGATCTTCTCCTCTTTCTCTGACCCTCTGCTTTACCAACCATGATATCCTTCTCCAGAGACTGGACCCTTCTGACAACATGACCATTCTCCCTTCTAAGGAGCATTCCAGCTGCACTTCTTCCAAGACAGATTTGTTCATTCTCCTGGCAATCCATGGTATTTTCAGTATTGTTCGCCAACAACACTGTTCTGGTTACCTATGCCACTCTGACAAGAATATACCACCAATGGGACGGCTTTTGCAAACAGAAGTTTGTTCTCTTACAGTTTGGAGGCTTTAAGTCTGAGTTCAAAGTGCCAAGCTCTAGGGGCTGGGTTAAAGCCCCTCAACCTTGGGCTTCAGCTCTGCCTCCTGCTCCCAGCCCACTGGAGCTAGAGGCTTTTCTTCACTCAGACAGCTACTGACTGCTGAGACTGACAAGCCCAAGGTTGACAAGTAAAAAGGCACAGTCCCGATGTTACCAAACCACACGGCAGACCATTAGTTCAAGTCCATCGAAAGTCCCAAGGTCAGCAGAACATGGCAGGCTGCTGAACAACAACATGGCTACATGCAGGGTCCAAGCGTGCTGTAAGCTAGAGACCATCCCCAAAGCTCTTTCTTATATACAAGAAGCAGACCACATATCTAAAACAGCTACTCAGCTGCTCCAATAATTCTACCATGGAGTTAATTACCCATCTTACCATGGGGAATAACTACCACCAGCTGCCCAGCCACTCAACCAGGCCCAGCCAAGTTGACACACAAACTTAACTACCACAACCACAATTAAAATATATCAGTTCTTCTTTGAAAGTTCAGCTTTCGTGCATATGGGCAATTGAAAACACCATGGCTTGCGTCAGGCTCATCTTAGTCTTCAAAGTGACATCTTTGCTCTTTAAAACTTTAAAGAGGTCTTTTGCAGCAGATTTGCCCAGAGCAGTATGTCTTCCAATTTCTTAACTGCCACTTACTTGGGCATTGATGGTGGATCCAAGTAAAATTAAATCCCCAACAACTTCAATCTTTTCTCAGTTTATTGTGATATTGTTTATTGGTCTAGTTGTGAGGATTTTTGTTTTCTTTATGTTGAGGTGTAATCCATACTGAAGACTGCAGTCTTTCATCTTTATCAGTAAGTGCTTCAAGACTTCTTCACTTTCAGTAAGCTTGTGTCATCTGCATATCACAAGTTGTTAATGAGTCTTCCTCCAATCCTGATGTCACATTCTTCCTCATATAGTCCAGCTTCCCAGATTATTTGCTCAGCATACAGATTAAATAAGTATAGTGAAAGAATACAACCCTGACTCACACTTTTCCTGGTTTTAAATCATGTACTATCCCCTTGTTCCATTTGTACTGTCTCTTGGCCTATGTACAGGTTCCTCATGAGCACAATTAAATGTTCTGGAATTCCCATTCTTCACAATTTTATCTATATTTTGTTATGATTCACAAAGTCAAATGACTTTTCATAATCAATAAACCACAAGTAAACATATTTCTGGTATTCCGTGCTTTCAGCCAACATCCACCTTACACCAGCAATGATCTCCCTTGTTCTACACCCTCTTCTAAATCTGGCTTGAATTTCTGGCAGTTCCCTGTCAATATACTGCTGCAACCATTTTCAAATTATTTTCAGCAAAGTTTTACTTGCATGAGATATTAACAATATGGTTTGATAATTTCCACATTCTGTTGGATCACATTTCTTTGGAATGGGCACAAATATGAATCTCTTCCAATCAGTTGGCCAGGTAGCTGTCTTCCAAATTTCTTGTCATAAATGAGTGAGTGCCTCCAGCACTACATCCATTTGTTGCAACATATCAATAGATATTCATTCCATCAATTCCTAGAGACTTGTTTTCACCAATTACTTCAGCGTAA